AGAGTTCTGGAAGCAATACAAAGAGCTGAAGAAAGGAATGACTATACCCAAGGGTTTATGGAAAGAAATTCAATAAAAGTATAACTGTGGAAAAGTACAGCTATATCAATAATGTGAACAGAAATAAAAATGACAGGATTCAATACTCCTCTTTCATTAATAACTTTAAATATTAACAGACTGAACTCCCCAGTCAAAAGGCACAGAATAGGTGAATGGATTAAGTAACAAACCCCATCTTTTTGTTGTCTGCAAGAAACTCCTTTCACTTTCAAGGACAGGCAACATCTTAAAGTGAAAAGATAGAAAAAAAAAATATACCAAGAAAACGATACTAAGGAAAAAGCAGGCGTAGCAATTCTAATATCTGACAAAATAGACTTTAACCTAAAACTAATCAGAAGAGATAAAGAGGGCCACTTTATTCTGATCAAAGGAACAACAAGCCAAGAAGATATCACAATCATGAACACATATTCACCAAACTATGGTGCACTCAACTTCATAAAAACAATACTACAGGACTTTAAGACCGAATAATCCCAACTCATCAGTAGTAGGGGACTTTAATACCCCACTGTCTCCATTAGATAGGTCAACAGGGCAGAGAGTTAATGGAGAGACATCTGAACTAAATAATATCATATATCAAATGGACCTGACAAATGTTTACAGAGTATTCCACCCAAGCACCAAAGGACATATTTTTACTAAGCACCCCATGGAGCCTTCTCCAAAATCGACCATACACTGGGGCACAAAACAAACCTCAACAAATACAAAAAGATTGAAATAATTCCATGCATTCTATCAGACCACAGTTCAATAAAGCTTACAATCAACACCCGAAGAAGCCCTAATCACCACATGAACACATGGAGAATAAACAATACACTCCTAAATGATGAATGGATCAAAAGAGAAATTAAGAAAGAAATGAGTATTCCTGGAACTAAATGAAAAGGACAATACTACACAAAACCTCTGGGATACTCTGAAAGCTGTCCTTAGAGGGAAGTTTATAGTGCTAAGTGCCTACATCAAAAAATCAGAAAGAACACAAATAAATGACTTAACATTGCAACTCAACACACTTGTAAAGCAACAACAAATGAAACCCAAACCCAGCAGACAAGAAGAAATAACAAAAATCAGGGCAGAAATTAATGAAATTGAAACAAAACAATACAAAGAATCAAGGAATCCAAGAGCTGGTTCTTTGAAAAGATAAACAAGATTGACAGACTGATAGCTAATGTAATCAAAAGAAAGAAAGAGCACCTCCAAATCAACAAAATCAGATGAAGGGGGAAACATCATAACAGATACCAGAAAGATACAGAACATTATAAGGGAATACTTTAAAAACTTATATGCTACTAAATTTGAAAACCTAAAAGAAATGGATGGATATCTAAAGGCATGGGAACCACCAAAACTAAACCAAGAAGAGATTAACAGCTTAACAGACCCATAACACAAAAAGAAATTGAAACAGCAATTCAAAACCTTCCTGACTAAAAAAAGCCCATGACCAGATGAATTTGCAGCAGAATCCTACCAGACATTTAAAGAAGATCTACATCCAATACTACTTAATTCAAAAAGATAGAAATGGAGGGAGAATTCAAAATTCCTTCTATGAAGCCAGCATCACTTTAATACCAAAGCCAGGTAACGATACAACCAAAAAAGAAAACTATAGACCCATATCCTTAATGAACATAGATG